AGCCAGACAAGAAATTCCCCCACGTTTTATCGAACCTTCAGATTTATTACATTACTATTAGAGGTTCTCACGGCGGTGTTACGAAGATGTTGTCCTCTATGATGTGACGCCGTGTAGTCTGGTTCGCTCGCGGATTTCTTAATTTTCTTTTCTTCTACCCTGAATATGGAGGCGATACGTTCCTCCGAAACGTCTGTTAACACTATCTCCACGGCACCATATCCCAGAAGACTGCTTTCTTCATAGTCAGCGCTGTGAAAACCTTAAATCTTACATAGGACTCGTTTTGTTTTGAAGATATGAAACGATTGTGGACAGTTTTTATGTAACTGAGTTTGCGACGCTGTTAGTATCCAGATTAAGCGCCGAATGGTGATTAGGAAGGAAACGGCCGTACTAACCCGACATTTGCTTGCAGGAACTGAGGCGGTCCAAGAAAAAATCTGGTCGGATTAGTCAGTATTCCGGCCCCGAGATTCGAACTGAACGCCTCTGGAATACAAGTCTGGTGTGTCACCAGTACACCATCCCGTTAGGTTTTTTGGCATAATTACGGTCATATTACAAAGTATTGCTGATTTGTTACATATTCTGCAACAGGCTAAAATTTAGATATTGTCACGTGTATGAGTGACTGGTTTCGATTGATGATTGGATTTATTGGACTCTTTGATACAGCGCGTGACTACACTTTACAATTCACTGTTACCTACACACACACACACACACACACTAGTGTCCGCAGCCTCGTCTTCAGTAGCCGTTGCTCGGTGGCGGCTTCAAGGCTGACATTCCTCAGGGTTCCCGAACTATCCCCTGCCTCAGCTAACCAGCATCTCACAGCAACAACTCACAACGACTGAACCGCAGCAGTTTTCAGTGACTTAACTCAATCACCAACCAACTACTCTTCACTGCGCTAAGTCAACTTCACCCGAACTGTCCTGCTTATAACATCTCGGCACGGACTGTTATGCCGTGATGACGGGGGGCGTGGAGGTATCCCCGCTGCCACCACCTGTTCTGCAGTCACAGGGGNAGATGGGCGGATAGAAGTGACAAGAAGACGAGGAAGAAGACGTAAGAAGATGCTGGATGACCTTGGGGACAGAAGAGGATACTGTCATGTGAAGGAGAAAGCTCTAGATCGCATTAAGTGGAGGAATTGTTTTGAAAGAGACTGTGGACCTGTCGTCTTGACAGATTACTGATGATGATGATGACACAACTATATACATTTTAGTAATATCACAATTAAAGAACCGACTGGTGTCGGATTACACATTGCACTTTTCTTAAACGATTTCTGCGTACAATTTCTGCGAAACGAAAGTTTCTTAACCCTTCTTACGTCCTCTTTCGTACGTCTTACAAGTATTTCCCAAAACTAATTCTATTCTAGCCAACATTTTCCCCTAAAATACAAAAAGTTAAATACTCTTTTAACATATTACCGGGAGTCGGCCGTTGTGTGGTTTCGTGGTCGTTGCCTAGCAATGGATCTACATGCCACAGTATTAACACCTATAAACACAGTGGTAACTGCTTAGTATCACCTGAATTTACATTCATAAAGTCGTGTCGCGCGATTTTAGCACATTTATTCGCCATGAAATCTTCTCATGTTAATTCGTAAATTCTGCCCTTTGCCGCTACAATGTATTGTATGTTCGATGTGATTCACAGAATAAACAGTGATCGTTTATATTGATAGTATTAACCAGTTGGTCTTTGAAATGGAGACGGAATGTCTTTAGTATATGGCAGGAACTGAATCTTTAGGTACTGCATCACTTAGGATTAACGACAGGCAAGGACAGCTTGTTTTCGAGCACCTTGCTTTCAGAAGTCATCTTTGTGCGAAATATGGGCGAGAATTTGTCACTGTCCAAACTCCAGTGCAGATCATAGTAGCTTTGTGATGATTTTTGCACACAACAAGCTACATTCACGGATTATGAAACCAATACCAAATTGGTTGGCCCCGACATCTCCATATGGCTTGACGTAATTCTTTTGAAAAATTGCGCAGTAGGCATATTTCCCGTTCACCTTCGCTTCCCACGCAGGCTCTTGTGAACCAAGTAACGAATCTTTGGGTTCCTTAAAATGCTAGGAATTTCGTGATCAGCTGAGCCGCTGTTGGTTTCTGAAGGACTCGGCGACATGGGGTTCACCAGTCATACTTGTTCTTCAAGACCGGAACCTAGTTGTTTCGAATCTTGCCGACGAAGGAAAGGAAAGCCATGGTCCTCTGTTCTGAGTACACTGGACACGTCAAAGTTTTTTTTATACATGCTTCTTGCTGGTTACTTCGCTTAATCCCGGACCCAGAAGATGAGGCACTGAGTTTCTCCGAAATGTTGGTGACATTTTGTCGGACTGTACGGCGTTACTTCCAGTTTCATCATGATGTAAAACGGTGGTCATGTAAAGGTAAAGTTGTCCCTCTGCTTAACTAATTAAGCACTGCACCATGAAGGCGTATGGGGGAGTGTGTGTATAGATCCACATTTTCTTGACATCGGCACTAATTTGAGGTGAGTGGTCAGCTTCACGCCCCGGTCGCTTTATCCCCGGATAAAGAGCCCCCGGTACCCATTGGATAGGAGGTTGGGCGGACCCCAGAGCCGGTCTCGACGACGTGGAGAAGATAAAATTCTTCACCCTACCGGGGGCTCGAACTCCGACATCTTGGTCGTCCAGCCCGCAGCCAGTCGCTGTCCCAGCTCGCAATTAGACATCCGTGATGAAGCTTAATTTGTAGTGTCCTCTGCTATGTAAGGTCGAGATACTGAGGACTGAAGTGAAAATTACGGGACCCGAGTGTCAGATTAGAGCCCATAACTTGAGCGAAATTCATAGAACCGTGCCTGCTAGTCAACGGAAGGGCACATACACGTATATGCCATATACCGCGTTGTTCCTCATTTGTAGCGGTTGCAGGG